TCAAATCTATTTGAACATTCAGGCAAGTGTGGTCCTAATAATAACATGGAAGTGGTGGTGAAAAAAGTCCTACAGAATCAAAAAAGTGATTAGAGGTTGCTTAGATCCTAGGCAAAGGACTATGACCCACAGACAGCTAAATGATTTATTTATTCTTGTTCAGAATTTACTCGTCTCAATATGTCATTACTTATCAGGTAATCAAGACTGTATTGGAGAGGAAGTTAAAACCAAGTTATGCATTTGCCAGAGGAATGAGCTGTTTGCTTACTTAATTACATTTTCTAAAGAGTGCAGAGACTGCCACACTGGATTTGTGCTGTCTGTCATCCCTTGTTTTCTCAATGCACTGTTAATCTCCACTCTGTCAAATGACCTCAAATAACTACCACTGAATGCACTTAATGCCATTAATACTGTCATATTCACAACATTAATGCTGTCATAAAAGGACTGACTGTAATAGTTATTGGATGGGCAAGAAAAAAATCCATGAAATTATTTAAACTGGTTACAATAGTAAATTAGACAAATCCTCCACCTTTTCCACATAAACACTGTCAGCTTAGAAATATCAGAAAGACTCCTTTTCCCTGGCAGAGTTCAAACCTACTTCCCTCAGCGACACACATCACCAACATGGCACTGTCAGCAAGACAGTGTAACCATTTTCACACAACTGATCCAGCAAAATTTTATAGCGCAGACTACACTGAAGTGGAAGTCAGTTATTCAAATTTATCATCAGTTCTACTACTGAGCTTCACAGCTTTCAGAGATTCACACCAGGATGCCGTCTGAGCCAGTAACCCTTCTGATAGCCTCTTGTCCCTTTCAGTTAGGGAGGGCTCCTGTGACAAAAGCAGCATCCTGATCATTCACACACTGACTTCATTCCAAAACTCTGCTGATACTCTGACTGATTCCTGAATTTGTGTAACAGAACTTAAAACTCCTTACAGAAAATTATTAGACTAAGTAAGGGGTTATGCCTTAGTTTCGAGGCAGGGGTTTCATCAGGGAGGAGCAATACTGATACAGTTACAACACTAGCTGAGGTCACTGCTCACAGTCCTTAAAACACAGAAGGTGAGGCTYTTCATAGCAACAGGAAACTGCTTTTATATTTGTTAAAGGCATTAAAACTGTCTCCCAGAAATTTTGTGCAATTAAGTTCTCTCCAGCATTACCTGCAGCACCTGCTGTGAGGTCAATAGCAGCCTGAATAGCAGAGTTGATCCTCATGCTTTACACTTGTTTATCAGTTACTTCAGAGCAAAGTCTCCCGTTCCCTGGTAGGTATGGAGATACTTGTCTCCTGAGTGAATAGAAAGATGAAACATACACAATTTACAATAATTTGACAGGCAAAAGCATCACAGGAATCCTTTCAGATCTACTCTTCCATTTAGACACAGAAAATGCTTGTGCTCAGGAATGATGCTTAGCATATTTGTATTTYGACTGATTTTGCTGCATTAGGCAGGTCTCCTGGAGTATCACTGCCTATCTTCAGTTAATTTGGGCTTTCCAGCTTCTAATCTCWCAAATGAAAGCAAAGAGTACATCCAGGGAACAGTGCTGAGAGTTACCTTTATATTGATTATAGAAGCATAGTCTTCCCTCAGGTTTCTAAGGCTGGGATATTTCACACCTGTCACAGCTCCTCACCTGTAAATCAAAACAGAGAATCTGCTCTCCTCATGGTGAAGAGCAGCTATGAAAATTCTACCCAGGGTGATACAGGCACATTAGGCGGTTCTCAGAAAATGAGTAGAAAGGGAATGAACATGAACATCTTGAATTGTGCCTGGCTGTCATGTTCCTAGTGCAAGYCCCCCGCCACCAGAATATTATAAATAAGAATTACACCTTGTCTCTCAGGAGGGCATCTGGAAAGCAGAAATACAAAGGTGACAGTTTGAAATAAAACATTTAAATTAATTCAGTTCTCAAGTTATTTTCACTGGGCAAGCAGTTAAAACAAGCWTATTTATCTGGGGAAAATAACTCAGCCAAAGAGCTCCCACTGTTTCAGAACCATGCTGCTGAGCGAGACACTTCGCTGGCAGTGCTGTCAAAAAGCTTGAGTCTTAAAACCCACACAAATACACATGTGAATTAGTGCCTCATTGGCTTTTAAGCCTGTTTTCAAGCACAGTACATCAGTAAGCAAAACAATTTTCACTCTTCTACCTACTGTAATGCTTCTTTTGAAGTCTGTTACCTCCCAAAATATAGTTTGGCATAATATGAATGGGAAACATAATTCCCAGTAGGCTGCATTGAAAGAATCATAAAAAGACACTTGAACCACATCCTTCGTACACAGAATACAGACACTTCAATACAAACAAGGCTTTAAGAAAGTCTGTCTCTAAACAAATTTATTATTCTTGAACATTAAAAAAATACACCAGGAGGCCAAATACTGTCATTCAGTGACTTTACCCATCCAATCTATTTAAAATGTGTTACATAAATCTAAACATAATGAGTTTAAAACGAAACATTGCTCTTGCAATAAATGACACTAACATGCAATTTCACAGTTGTGGCTTCAGATTTGAACAGTTTTGCTACTGACTGCACAGCACAATAGGTATTATTTCAAAACAGAGGCTCCAAGGCCAAATTATGCTTTGCAAGTTATCCTATATGCAAGTTATCCTATATATCTCATTAGTCTTCACACAGCACTCCGCAGTTTTCCTCCTCATTTAGAGGAAAGGAAAACAAATCAGCCAGACAGATTTTGAATGAAAGGAATTACTAGAGAGCAAYAGTTGCCTATGTTCAGTAAAATGCACACTGCTTTCATCATGCTGAGTGCTTATCGACTCGTGCTAGTCCCCAAAGGGAGCACATGCCAGATCACCCACAGAAAACTTGGCAGCAGAAGGAAAAAAGTATATGCCTATAAAAATACGGATCTTTTAAGAGATAAGGAAGTTTAGTTGCCTGATCCATAACAGCACAGTGCTACTTTTGTAAGATTTAAGCCTTAGTCAAAACCAAACTAGTATTATATAAGTACATACCTTTTTTTCCCCGATTGTAATAACACTCCTAGATTAAAAGTTGCTTGTAGACAGAGTGAGGCAGCAGCTGCTCTGTTACTTCCAGAGCAAATCCAAGCCTCAGACCTGGAAACACAGAAGAATTAGTGTAACAGGTCCTGCAGAGTCCTCTGCCCGCAGCCCCAGATGTTTCTCTCTGCTGATGCACTCTCCAAAGATTGAGATGCACCCAGAAGGCAGCGCTGYTCCTTGCAATWGCCCGCGTGAGCAGGCCGAAGCTCYGCTCCCCAAGGTCACAGCAGGCCGGCACGCCTGCAGCAGCCGGGCAGCAGCGGGGCTCACCGCGGGCTGTCACACGTGCTGGCGGCGGGAGCGSACGGACCGCTCCCGGGCCACACCGCCAGCTGCAGCCTTCCTTAGGGAGAAAGGCGCAGGACTCCCGCTCCGCCAACACCCGCCCATTTGGAGCAGTAAGCCCCGGCCTGCGTCCGGCGGAGGCCCGGGGTGGCAGACCCCGCCCGACCCCGGCCCGGCGCCTCTCCCGGGCGGCCGCACACGCAGCCGCCGCTTCCCGAGGGGCCGCGCATCCCCGGCCTGCCCGCAGCTCCCGAGCCGCGGGAACCCTCCGGCCCGGCCCACCGCCGCCCCCGCCTGCCAGCCGAGAGCGAGAGCCCGCTGCCCCGGCCCGGAGCCCCCACTCACCGGAGCTGCCGCCCGCCCGAGCGGCCCCGCCGCCTCTGCCCCGAAATAGGCGGCGATGGAGGCGGCGCGGCCCCGCCGCGGCCCCGGGGAAGGCGCGGGCCAGGCAGGCGGCGGGGGGGGGCGGCGGGGCTGGGCTCTGCTTAAGCTGGGGCTGGGCTATGTTTCATCTTACTGAACAGGATGCAACCGAATTTATGAATTAAAACCACCTTTAAGAAAAAAAACCTTGGGTTTTTTATTTTTTTATTTTTTTTTTTTTTTAATGTATGTTCGTTTGTTTAATTTTCTTCTAGTTGGATGATTTTGTTCTCGTTGTTGAGATTTTTTTTCTTTTTTTTTGTTATAAAGGATTTATTTAGGAATTGCGTACCTTGAAATAAGAGCAGTTTGTGTATCCAAAGGAATTGCATCTCCTAAGCTGTCACGTTCATGATCCTGGCTTTTTGGGACTTTGAGGTGCCATGGACCTAGGCCACCATGGTGAGGGCTAATACTGCTTTTCTCAACTGAAACTGCACAACAGTTTTAAAAAAAAATTATTTTTCCTTTTGATTTGCAGTTACCTAAAGTGCTTGCACAAAGGCTCATCAGAAAAAATGTCTGATTGAAAGCAGTGGGACAATATACAGTCTGTAGAAAGGTAAATGAGCCATGGCCATAATGTATACGAGTGATCAGTCATACTTGAGATATTCTSCCAGACCAGGCAGTGTTTCTGGGAAGCGCTGCATGCCCTGTAATCCCTGTTGAGCTGCATATGTGTTTGCATGTGTTGAGACATGCAGACCTACATATTTGAGCTTAGATTCATGGTATTTTCCACCAAATAAAACTGATGACTCCTACTTTCAAAGCTCAAACCAGAGAAAAGCAGCATAAATAMAATTATAAACTTAAATGTATTTTTTTCCATCACTTTTAATTACTTGAAGGATSCAGATTTTATTTTCTTACATGTTTRTGTTCTTGATATGTTAATTTTAAATGCTTAGAATCACAGAGTGTTTAGGTTGGAAGGTTGCTTAAAGACCATCTAATTCCAACACCCTGCCATGGGCAGTGACACCTTCCACTAGACCAAGTTGCTCAGAGTTCTATCCAACCTGTCCTTGAACACTTCCAGAGATGGGGAATCCATAACTTCCCTGGGCAACCTGTTTCAGTGCCTCACTACKCTTGTATGAATAATTTCTTTCTAATATCTAATCTAAACCTACTCTCTTTCACTTTGAAGCCACCCTCCAGCTGTCTTGTAGGATCCCTTCATGTGCTGGAAGGCTGCATTTTGGTCACCCTAGAGCCTTCTATTTTCCAGGCTGAACAGTCCCAGTTCTCTCAGCCTTTCCTCACAAGGCAGATGCTCCAACCCTTTAATCAACTTGGTGTTCCTCCTGTGGACTTGCTCCAACAGGTCAATGTCCTTCCTGTGTTTATGACCCCAGAGTTAGATGCAGCACCCCAGGTGCGGTAGTTGTTAAGGAAGAACAGCTTAGTTTAGTTTTAAATGGTTTTAGAAATGGAAATGTAATTTCTACCATGTAAAAAAAAAATAAAAAATTGCCGATCTGTTGTAACTAGTGATTTGGAGTTAGTTGTGTATCTCAAATAACCTGCAATACTTAGAGATTAATGTTTCATTGCAAATAATTTTTACTTGACAGCTGACTTCTTTTTTAGCAGGACTGCAGTACTGTTGGAAGATTTAGCTCAACCCCTAATACAGTGAAGCTTGCGCTTTATTTACCATTAAATCATGTGCTGCCTGCCATAACCAGCTGAAACACCAGGCTTTGTGCATTTCAGGATGCTTCTTCATAGCCACGTTCATCAGGCAGACCACCATCCTTGATCTGCTATTTTTTGGCCCCTGTATAAAAAGATGGAGACGGCGACAGCGCTTGAAATGTTATGTGGGAGCGTTTATAGCCCTGAATGGAGCACTACAACGAGCACATTGCCACCACGTGGCTATTTCTGCTGCCTACACCCGTGGCCATCCAGCCAAATTGTACTTTTTGTCCATGCGCCGTGCTGCTGTGGAGGAATTTTCTGGTTTAAAGAATTTATTTAGGAATTACGTACCCTGAAGTTACAACACTTGGTGTGTGTAGGGAAAGCGTGGAAGAACTGCCATAACTCTCCTGAGATGAGGTATCAATTTGTTTGGAGCTTAGCTTCAAACTTCYCCTCAAAACATTTAAGCATGACAGAAATGGGACATGTGTGCAGAGAGTTTTCTTGCAAACTGCACGTGGAAATGCTTTCTGGCACTAAAGGGGTCTGGCTTGGGGTATGTGTTAATGTCTTTGGGATGTGATGGTGCACTGTGTGACAGAGTGGCACAACTCCTCTTCAGCAGCGTATTTTGGCAGTGGAAGGATGTGTAACTTCTGGGAGAAGAAAAGCTGGCAGGGGGATGTCGTGGAAACCTGTCTGATGTGGGAGAGGAAAGAGATTCCTTGCAAGGTGTGTTTCTTTCCATTCTGCAGGATACCTGCAGTACAAGATGATACAKATGGTCTATATCAAAGTGACAATGTGCTTATGAGGCCTATTAATTGAAAGCTTTCTATAGCCTTTTTTATAYGTTATCAGGATAAGAATGTAATAACTTTTTACATATTACTAAAATACAATCTAATCACTTTCAATATATTATCAATKATAGCCTTTTTATATATTGCTCTAAGTTTTTTAAAAGTGTATTAGCAACATATAGTATACCAGCTGCACGTAATCTAACCAGCTGGATTAGTACATAGATACATGAAATCACCAARAGGCATAAGTCAGAAAAAGTTCTGAAGAAAGTAGACAGGTAGATGCTATAAACAAGGAACAGTAGAGAGCACTAATGAGAACTTGGCAGAAGCACRGGACASTCAGCAAAATAATGGAAAATTACAACTTGGAGGACTAGAAAATACCCATGAACATCACAACTGTGCATGCTCTGAAGACAAAGGTGAAAAGTCCACCATGATGAAGAGGATGGTATCTCATTAGAGAGAGACCCCTTCGACCGCCAAATTGAGGATGACACATGTGCMCTTGTAAAACTGTGATATCATGTATTTTTGTGCCCATGTATAGTGGTGGGTGTATGGTSGGTATATGGGGGGCAGTGACAATGTTCATGTTATACCATGCTTACTGTATAAATATGTGGTAATTTGAGGCAAAGGCAGGTGGTTTAGGAGGAGAAATCCTCCTCACCTCCAGTGCTAAACCAGCGCTGCAATAAACAAATACCTGCTCTATAGACAGGTCTATAGGTCTTTCTAGGCCTAGAAATAAAACTCCGTTCTATGGGGTTTTATTTCTAGGCCTTTTGCAGGCATCAGTTTTGGTGACCAAGCACAGCACGACCTCTCTTCCTGGCTGCAAGATCTGTTGGAGTCAGGGAATCCCTAGGGCGCCCCTGAGATTTTCTCGGAGAGACTCCACACTTCACCGGCCCTCTTCAGGAGCAGACAAGGACCGACTGACTGCATAAATTTAAGGTATTTGCACTTTGATTTGTAACGTTTTTGGTTTGTTTGGGAAGTTCCCATAAGACATATGTGATGACATGTGCCAGGCGTGTATCACAGGTGAAATTCCTGAAGTTGATACAAGGAGTTTGGAGACTCCTAGGTGGTGGTTGGAAGCCCCTAAAAGAAGACAGATGACTTTTGGTTTGGATTTAGCCTGGGCCTTTTGGGTTTGATTGTTGTATGTGTTGTTTTTTGTGTTTTGTATAAAGTCAGTGTTTTTGTCTGTGTGCTGATTATTGTATGTGTTTTTTGGTGTATTTTATATAAAGTCAGTGTTTCTTGTCTGTGTGCTAACAGCTCTTACTGGGCTGCTGGTGTTTGCTAAAGGTTTTTGCTGTCTGTGTCTGTGTCTTTACAGCCCTTAGTATGTGTATCTGCCAGGAACTGGTACGGCTTTGCTAGCAGTTTTAATTTATGTCCTGTTCAGCTCCGCTACTCTATCTCACTGCTTTTACTTATCAGACTCCTATGCCTTGTTTTGTTTTTGGAGTACTGTGCAGTTACAGTATCCTCTGGTTATGTGATTCTTGGGTGCATATTTAGTGTCTGAATTGTAAAAGAAAATATTGGAGTCAGTCGCACCCCTGATGTCTGTTGTGTGTTAAGTGTTGTTTGCGGGGGTTGAGAGCTGATAACAGTAATCTTTGTATTTTTTTCCTATGAAATGTAATCACCAGCATTTAAGGTTACATTAAAGTAGGTARTTCTAGTGGTAAGCAAATGGTTAAAAAGAGCCCTTTAGAGTGCACTCTAGCCCACTAGAAGTGAAAAATAAAGAAGTGTTGTTTTGCATGTGGTATAGGACAGAGGTGTTGGAAGTTRGCAAACAGGTATGAGGAAGACAGTGTTGTGGATGTTCAGGATTTATAGCCAAAGTATGTGAGGCCAGCGGCATACTCTTCTCTGACTGCTCCCCGCTTCCAGCTCTAGCAGAAGTGAGGATGAGATAAGTGATCCTGGGGAAGGAACGAGTTCAGGGACCCCAATAGCAGTGTGGACGAGAAGTAAAACAAAAGTTTTGCCTCTAGTAGCCCCTCTGAGAGAAGTGATAGTTCCYGGGGGAGAGGCTACGCAAGTGAAAGTTCCCTTTCCCATTAATAATCTGAATAGCTGGAGAGAAGAGGTTAAGAATTATAGAGAGGACTTAAAAGTCGCTAGAAGGTTTGAGTTGGTTGTGAGAAATCAAGACCCTGATTGGGTTGATATTGATTTGATGTTTTCRGAGCTTACAGAAACAGAAAAGGAATTGATAATAAGCAGAGGTGAGGGCAGAAATAAAATAGCAAAGCAGGCTTAGAAAATGTTATCCTGAAAGCAGTAAATCAGTCAATGGTTTTCCAGGTTAAGCAGGGAAGGCAGGAGTCTCCCACTGCTTTTATGGACAGACTCCGTGCAGTGCTGCATAAATACACAACCCTAGACCCTCATCAGACATGGGCAAGCAGCMATTAGTTTTTCCAACGTTAAGGCAATCCTGCCCAGACAATAGATTTGAGCTTCAGAAAATGAGAGAGCCTGCAAGCAGGGATCTAGAAACGTTAATGGGGGAGGCTTTGCAAGTATACAATAACAGAGATAAAGAGGAACAGAAAAATCTGACTACAGCTATAGTAGCTGCCTTGGATCAGCATCAGAATAGTGGGCGTGGTCAAGGCAGAGGCAGAAGCGGAAAAAACAGAGGGGGCTCGAATCAACCACTATCCAAGTTGGGACCAAATCAGTGTGCATTCTGTAAAGAGGAGGGACACTGGAAAAACCAGTACCCTAAACTAGCAAATCAAGGGTCAGAGACCATTGTTGCCACTGTGCATAATGATGAATGATGGGGACCAGCAGACCTTACCCTGGCAGATCAGCTGGTTAAAATGCAGCTAGGGAATGAAAAAGAAGTTGAATTTTTTACCGATACTGGAGCCACATTTTCAGTTTTAAATCAAGCCTTGTTACCTAAAAGTGAAAAATACATTCAAATTCAGGGAGCTACGGGCCAACCAGAAAATACTTTCTTTTAAAACCACTTGAATACAAAATTGGGAAAAGAATCTGAGCCAGAGTTCAACACCCCTATATTGCCAGTTTAAAAAAAAAAAAATAAAAAAAAATTTAAAAAAAATCACAACCCAATAGAATCTACAGACAATACAAGATTTGCAAGCAATCAATGAAATTACTAAAAGCATTCACCAGGTAGTGGCTAATCCTTACACGCTCCTAACAAAATTATGAGAGGATTTAATTTGGTTTTCAGTCATAGATCTTAAAGATGTTTTCTTTTGCCTGCCTATCACAGAAGAGAATCATGATTTTTGTGTGATTTTTGCATTTGAATGGGAAAACCCTAGCACAGGAAGAAAAAATCAGCTTACCTGGACCATGCTGCCTCAAGGGTTCAAAAACAGTCCCACATTCTTTGGAAACCAATTGGCTAAGGAGTTAGAGCAATGGCAGTYGCCACCTGGGGAAGGTGCACTTCTGCAATGTGTGGATGACTTGCTAATCGCCACAAAAACTGCTGAGGAATGTCTTGAATGGACAGTGAGCCTTTTGAATTTTCTGAGACTAAATGGTTATCGAGYGTCTCCACAGAATGCTCAGCTGGTGCAGCAACAGGTGACGTATCTCGGGTACGAGATCTCTGGAGGACAACGATCTCTGGGAACCGCACAGAAGGAAGCGATCTGTTAAACATCTGAGCCACAAACGTAAGAGAGCTTCACGCTTTCCTTGGAATGACAGGCTGGTGTCGGTTGTGGATACACAACTATAGACTCATTCTGAAACTTCTCTATGAGCTGGTAAAAAATTTCCAAAAATTCTGTGCTGCAGACTCCTGCAGCTGACAAATCCTTCAAAGAACTGAAGCATGAGCTTATGAGAGCCCCAGCCCTTGGACTGCTGGACGTGAGCAAGCCCTTTTTCCAAGCAACTCAACACWGTGAGCAAGGGCTGGCCTGCATGCCTCAGGGCAGTYGCAGCAGTTATAATCAACATTGAAGAAGCAAGGAAACTCATGTTAGGACAGAAAAATGACTGTTCTAGTGTCCCACACAGTGTCGGCTGTCCTAGAGCAGAAAGGGAATCGCTGGCTGTCTCCTTCAAGATTCCTGAAATACCAAGCAATTCTGGCCAAATATGATGACATTGACTAAGAGGTGACTAACATTGTTAACCCTGCTTCCTTTCTGCAAGGAAACTCAGAAGCTGAACCAGTGGTACACGATCGTCTGGAAACCATCGAGACTGTGTACTCCAGGCACCCAGATCTGAAAGAAGAGCCACTCCCATATGCTGACAACTGGGTCACTGACAGCAGCAGCTTCATGAAGCAAGGGATGCGGAAAGCTGGGGATGCTGTGACCACTGTCTCTGAGGTAATTGAGTCAAATTCATTACCTGCAGGAACTTCAGCTGAAAAGGCAGAGCTGATGGCTCTAACTCAATCGTTGGAGCTGGCCAAAGGAAAAATCATCAATATTTGGACAGACTCCAAATATGCTTATGGAATTATCCATGCTCATGGTGCAATTTGGAGAGAAAGAGGACTCTTAACAGCACAGAAAAAGATTGTCAAACACATAACTGATGTCCTCAGACTTCTCGAAGAAGTGAAACTCTCATCACAGGTGGCAGTTATGCATTGCTGGGGACACTCTAGAGGTAACACTCTCCCYGAAGAAGGTAACAAATTTGCAGATTCCCAAGCTAAATTAGCTGCTGAAGGAAATAACTCAATGGTAACAGCTTTGATAYCCAGTGAAATAGATATGAGCCGCAGGTAAATTACAGGATAATAAAGGGAAACTTCTAGAAAATGGATGGAGGCAGTTGGAAACAGGCCAATTGGTAATACCTGAGAAAACTTTGAGATACTATGTGAAATCTGAACATGATAAGACTCACTGGGGAGTAGATCCTCTTTACCAGTATCTCAAAGCACTGATTGCAGGCTCACGTCTGTTAGAGGTTATTTAGGAAGTAACATCACAATGTGAAATCTGTCTGAAAAACAATCCCAATACAACAGTCAGGTTAGAACAAGGGGTGATTGACAGGGGAGCCTTTCCAGRGAATGTATGGCAAATAGATTTTTCYGAACTCCCAAGCAAGGGGRGACTTCCTATATCTATTGGTGCTTACTGACACTTTTTCTGGTGGCCAGTGGCGTTCCCTTGCAGAACAAATAAAGCTTGAGAAGTAGTAAAAATACTGCTCAATGAATTTATCCCTAGGTTTGGAGTACCCAGAGAAATTTCGTCTGATAGGGGAACCCATTTCTGTGCACAAATTGTGCAAGCAATCAGCAAAGTGTTAGGAATTCAGTGGCAACTTCACACTCCCTACAGACCACAGGCTAGTGGTCAGGTAGAAAAAATGAATCATATGATCAAGCAGCAAATAGCAAAAATTTGCCAAGAAACCAATTTGTACTGGTACCAAGCTTTGCCTATTGCTCTTGTGCGACTCAGAGTGAAACCCAGATCAAAAGAGAAAATCAGTCAATTTGAAATTCTTTATGGTAGGCCTTATGGATTGAATGTTATTCAAATTTGGCTCAAGTAGGTAATCAGTATATCAGTGAGTATCTGAAAGCCATTAATAAAACAATTGCATCAAAAAATCAATACTGTGTTTGAAAATCAASCTAAGCAACCAGATCATAAATTACATGCAATTGATCCTGGTGACTGGGTATATGTTAAGAATTTTTCAGGTGATCCTCTGCAGGAGAAGTGGGATGGACCTTTCCAAGTCCTTTTGAYGACTTTCACTACAGTACGCATCAGAGACCCACCTGGATCCACTATACCCRGGTCAAAAAATCTCCTGTCGAGCGTTGACTCCTGTCAACCTATTGATGCTGAAGGWCTGAAACTGAAGCTCAGTCGTAAAATATGAACCTCTTTTGGTGCTTCTTTGTTTTATGGCCAGTTACTGTGACTTTTGATACTAATAATTATGTAGCTTTGCTTGGATCCATAGCTAACCATACTTGAATAAGGGATTGCTGGTTGTGTGGAGAGGTACAACAGTTACACCGGCTGTTGCTGGGAGTACCCTCTAGCAATTGGACTGAGTTGAGCCCATATTCCCTGTATGAACATAGGCATCAATGTGGGAAGCTAGGTTCCCCTATGGGAACACCTCTTTTTCAGTTAACACTTGTTAATCAATCTGTTACTTCTGTAGAGTTAAAATATTCAGGGCCTAATCTTGGCTATTTTGAMAGCACCAACAATTGGACTAAAATTATCCCCCTACCATGGGTCTGGTCTGATATACCTTTACTTGTCCCCTCAAAACAATAGCATAACTATTTCTATGCCAGACATACCAACAACCCCTTAGTGCGAATTACTGTGAGCTGTGATTTGCCAGATGGTTACTGGTGGCTGTGTGGAGATGGAATAGCCCATAAACAATTACCCGGTAAATGGGCAGGACAATGTAACATGGGATACCTTGTCCCATCTATCCAGATGATAAACAACACTAATTCAGTTACAGGGGTTGTCAGGGGAATTTGGAAACAACTATTCAGCCGAAGGGTACCATCAAATCCCCTAATCAGATACAACACAGGGTTTCATAGTTTTCTCAGGGCCTTAGTGTTTCCACTAGGGATAGCACACCTAGAAAAGGCAATTGTTAACATCTCAGCAGAGATGGAAATAATTGCAAATACAACAGCAGATGCCATTGGACGATTGCAGACAGAACTTAATTTCCTGAAAGAAGTGGTGTTCCAAAAATCGAATGGTATTGGATATGATTACAGCACAAATGGGAGGAGTCTACACACTGGTGAATACTAGTTGCTGTACTTATGTAGATCAATTGGGGCAAATAGCCACAGACATACATGCAATCTGACAACATGCAAAAGTGCTTCACGAGGTGACAAAAGATNTCAGGGCCTTAGTGTTTCCACTAGGGATAGCACACCTAGAAAAGGCAATTGTTAACATCTCAGCAGAGATGGAAATAATTGCAAATACAACAGCAGATGCCATTGGACGATTGCAGACAGAACTTAATTTCCTGAAAGAAGTGGTGTTCCAAAAATCGAATGGTATTGGATATGATTACAGCACAAATGGGAGGAGTCTACACACTGGTGAATACTAGTTGCTGTACTTATGTAGATCAATTGGGGCAAATAGCCACAGACATACATGCAATCTGACAACATGCAAAAGTGCTTCACGAGGTGACAAAAGATGACACTTCTTGGACAAACCAACTTTTAGAAACACTTACATCCCGGCTTCCAAATTTTAATTGGCTGAAACAATTATTTACGGGAGTTTTACTTTTGGGACTGRTCATCCTTTGTACATGTGTGATCACTCAATGTATTCTGTGGTGGTGTAAACGAACAACGACCTCATGTGATGATTGGAAGAGCTACCAGTTCAGAAATAGATTAGAGAGGGGAACATCTTTTCAGAAATAAGTGTTAATACCACCTTATGAGATTGTGAGAGAATTCACAAAAGAATAAAGAAAGGGGGGAAATGATACATATGGTCTATATCAAAGTGACAAKGTGCTTATGAGGCCTATTAATTGAAAGCTTTCTATAGCCTTTTTTATACGTTATCCTTATAAGAATGTAATAACTTTTTACATATTATTAAAATACAATCTAATCACTTTCAATATATTATCAATGATAGCTTTTTATATATATTGCTCTAAGTTTTTTAATAGTGTATTAGCAACATATAGTATACCAGCTGCACGGAATCTAACCAGCTGGATTAGTGCATAGATACATGAAATCACCAAGAGGCATAAATCAGAAAAAGTTCTGAAGAAAGTAGACAGATAGATGCTATAAACAAGGAACAGTAGAGAGCACTAATGAGAACTTGGCAGAAGCACGGGACAGTCAGCAAAATAATGGAAAATTACGACTTTGAGGACTAGAAAATACCCATGAACATCACAACTGTGCATGCTCTGAAGACAAAGGTGAAAAGTCCACCATGATGAAGAGGATGGTATCTCATTAGAGAGAGACCCCTTCGACCGCCAAATTGAGGATGACACATGTGCMCTTGTAAAACTGTGATATCATGTATTTTTGTGCCCATGTATAGTGGTGGGTGTATGGTCGGTATATGGGGGGCAGTGACAATGTTCATGTTATACCATGCTTACTGTATAAATATGTGGTAATTTGAGGCAAAGGCAGGTGGTTTAGGAGGAGAATTCCTCCTCACCTCCAGTGCTAAACCAGCGCTGTAATAAACAAATACCTGCTCTATAGACACCAGTCTATGGGGTTTTATTTCTAGGCCTTTTTSAGGCATCAAAGGCTATCTTCTGGGCCCCACACCATCTCCAGCTAACCACAGGCAAACCATTTGCCTCCTGTAAACCAGTTTGCCTTTCCTAATTGGTATGGAAAACCTCATTGTCCAGGAGGATGAATGTCAGTTCTTGGCAAATGTTGTCCCAGAATAGCAGCCAGAGCTGCAGAAACATCAAAACTCACCCAGCACCTTATRGTGGATGTTGTCCAGATTGTTTGGAGAGAAGGATCAAGCAGCAGTACCACGTGGGGTTGRACATGGAGGAAAAATGAAATGGCTTCTGTAGGTAAGGCCTTACACGGGTGAGAATGACTTGTGTGCTGATGTACTACAGTACAGCAAGAGAGCGGACAGTGCTGGCCTTTCCTGAGTAGATAACACTAASGAAGGGAAGGCCTGGGACACCTCTGAACCATGTTTCAGAATGGTGTTGGGCCCTAACCTAATGCCTCTCTTGCACACAGAAGCCCGGAACTGGACACAGCACTCCAGYTGTGGCCTCGGCAGGGCTGCGCAGAGGGGCAGGATCACTTTCCTCCACCTGCTGGCAGTGYCCTTCTAAAGCCGCTGAGCTGCTGGCGGGGAGCGGCAGAGATGTGAGGGACCGTCCGCGTCCGGAACGCGTTTATCAGGGAACAGCTCCCGGCCGGAGCCGGGCGGAACGCTGCTGCGCGGAACGCCTGCGCTCGGCTCCTGTTCCCGGCCGGCGGCGCGGGGGAGCGCGGGGCGTGCGGCGCGGGTGGCGGTGCGCGGCTGCTCGGAGCGGCGGCGGCTGCGCGACCCCATGGCGGGCCCCACAGGTATCCACTCCCCTACATCCTCACCTGGCGGGCGGTGCCGCCGGTGGCCGGGCATTGCCGTGCAGCCGGGCCGTGCGCCAAGCCGCGTCCTTCAAAGGAACGGGACGGGGTTCGCCTGACCCGCCGGGCTGGGTGGCAGTGACACCGGTGGGCAGAAGGCACCGGGGAGTGGAGTCGGGTAGAGGGGAGTGGCGTGGGCCGTGTCTSTCGTGATGCTTTCCTTGCTGTCCTTCTCATCTTGAAGTGGTGTGGACGATCCGGGTGTGTGACCTGACCATAATTTTGCACCCTGTATGAGTAGAGCGATGCTGCCTGTTGGGCATTGTACCTGCCCAAAGCACGGGCTAAGAGCAGCATTTGGGAGTTCTTTCTCGTTTTTTTTTTTTTTTTCGTTTTTACTGAAAGATCTTAAACTGCTTTTAGTGACCTCAGTTGTGGGGCTTTTTTTGTTTTTTTGTTTTGGTTTGGTTTGGTTTTTTTACATTTCAAAGCTCCTCGATATTTTTGAGCAAGCACAGATGCTCTTACAGCCTCATGTACAAAGCAGCTCGGGTTCTCTTGTAGTTGTGTTTGCATTCTGAGGCCAAGCTCCCCAGCAGAATGCAAACTGAGTGGTAGGTGGAATGCAGCAATGCAAACTGCAGTGAACTGCCTTTAAGTGCCTGAGGCTTTYAGTCTTGCTGTTCTTTTCTGGCACTATCGGCAAAGATTAGGCTGAGAAGATTGGAACTGTTCAGCCCGGAGAAGGTTGCATGAAGATGTCGTAGCAACCTTCCAGTGTCTGAAGGGGGCCTACAGGGTAGCCAGAGACTCTTCATCAGGAATATGGGTGCAGTTTGTATCAGGAGTAATGGGTACAAATTGAAGGAGGGRAAATTTAAGTTAGGTATTAGGAAGAAATGCTTTTGCTAAAGGTTTGTGAGACACTGAAACAGGTTGCCCAGGGAGGTTGTGAATGCCCCATCCCTGGCAGTGTTCAAGGTCTTGAATGACCCAATCTAGTAGAAGGTGTCCCTGCCTGTAGTAGGGGGTGTTGGGACTAGGTGATCTTCAAGGTCACTTCCAACTCTTTAACATTCTATGATTCTATGATTTCTGAATGGTTAAATAGTTTTAAGGAGCATGCAGCCTTAATGAAAAAGGAGTTTGACAAAGACCTGTGGGGAACAATGCAGTGTAAAACAGCAGGGCTTCTACCWTCTTCCAAGTAATGAGGTTCTGAAGCTTTACTTAAATTTTCCTGTTGCTTCTCAACATTGAAATTTAGCATTTAATGTGCTGACAGTTTATTAAGTGCAGAGTGCATGAAATGTGATGCCTGCTGAAACTGGCAGATTTTCCWTTTTTAGTCAAAGAGAGATGTGTGTGGGGAGGAGAGGTATGTCACAATTCCTTCAGGTTTATGGAAGTRTTTATAGATCTATTGAAGTTTTTTTATTTTGACTCAAAATACTTTTTTTTTTTGCTTTTTTTTCTGTAACTTGAAGGTGCTTTTTAAACAAAGTAAGTAGTTGTGAATGTAAAGGTTTAAACACTTCATTTTAGGATGTTATAGAAAAATTCAAAGAACTGTTAATGATAGTTTTTCTAGAGAATGCAGCTCTGTCAGTATTGGAGAATCTCCCGAGCAGCTCTCTGCTGTCCCTGGCTTCCTATCCTCAGGTACACTGTGTCAGTTTCAGGTTCCTTGCAGCGGATTTGCTAAACTAAGTGAAGGAGCTATAACCCAAATAACTTTTCTGTTTGTTACTGGGTTGTCTTGCAGTAGAATCCATATTGCAGGGTAAGGAATGTAATCTGTAATAGTGCCAGAAGTGTGAGAACACGGGAAGTTAAATGTGTGTGTACAGTCATTTTTCAGATGGCTGTGAGTGATCTCTTTATTGACTTGTATTAAAAGTTTTGGTGAGTTTTCTGTAATAACAATGAATTTAAGTATCAAGTACCAGTAAATTAAAACTCTGTCTGCTAATGCAGAAATACTGTAAAAGTTATAAATTTTTATATTGTTTCCTCCACAAATAAATGGTGTGTAAAGTTGTTTATTTTTGTGATGAGGAARCTGTAAGTAATCAAGAGGTTGAAATGATGTCCCAGCCTTTCTCCAAAGTCAAAAGGTRTATGTTTGACATGTATCTTTGACTCAGGCTGCACTCAATTGGGCCTAGACAGTTGTAACTGTTGTTTTGTGGTTTTTGATAGGTTTACAAAATTCAGTCGTGGACCCTATTTCTAACTTCTGTATTTTAACTTTATATATCATCTAGCAAACAGGAACTCTTCAGCACAAGCAGCGTGCTTTCTACTGACAAAGATAAATCTGCTTCCAAAGAMAGCACCACTGAAGGGGCATCAAAGAGGCAGGAGGGTGGAGCAGAAACACCAAAGCAGCACCTGTTGGACATCATTGGTAATATGAAAGTGGAAGTGAGCTACAAGAAGAAACTCCAACAATTAAAAGCCAATGAGAACACGAAGCAAGCCATGAATGAGCTGGAAGGCCTGGACAGTGAAGGTTCTGTGCCTCAGGGAGCTACAGAAGACACCCAACGGTAAAATATAACAAACTTTTCTTAGCCTCTTTAATCCCTATTTCAGTTCTTTTTTTCGTTATTTAGACAATATAAGCTATCAAATGCAATTTCCAACTGCGGAAAAGAATCTTGTAAGGGAGTGTGGTGTACAGATATAGATTGGAGTAAATCATGGGGGAGAATCTGGGCCAAAGGTGCTGTATGCTTTCTACCATATGCTGCTGTTTTCTGCAGTGAGACTCTGGAAAGGTAGCATTAGCACCTGCCTGTGGAAAGTTATTTTGATGGGAGAGGGGAAATACTGTTCAGATGAAATACAGTGAAACTGAGGAAAAAGAAAAAAGTTTAGGAATGGCATGATGATTGTCAAGTCTTTGAATCTGCTCTTCTCTGCAGCGTGTTACATCATATTTATCACCTCACAGGTTTGTGCTGTTAGTGGTCTTCTAGCTGTACGTCCAAGTGGCTTTACAATGGTGCAGGGCTTCCATTTTCCCTGACTGGAGAACAAGAGCTTGTCAGAGTCATTCAGCATTTGATGATTATTGCAATGTAGGGCAAACCTTTCCCACTGGCCACCCCCATTTGGGAAAATATCTGACTAGCTTCTCAGTCATTAAGACATAAAGTGGCAGAGCAGAAATGACAATTTAAATATACTAAAGGCTTTGATTTATTTTTTTTTTGTCTTCATATCTGTTATGTCTCTTACAGAGGCAAGCCTTTGAATCCAGAATTGGTGAAGGCTGCTTCTGCAGTTGCATCTTCCCTTCCACGCAACAAGAAACAGACAGAATCAGAACTCCTTGCACAACTACGAAGACATGAAGAAACCACAGATAAACAGAAGAAGGGGGGAGCTATTAACATACGGTCTGTGTATTGATTGTTTTTCTCAATTATGTTCGAGATTCCGATTTTGGAATGTCATCCTGAAGGTGACTGCCTTCTGTTTTGGAAAGATGGCCCTAAAACGTACATTTGGATGTCTTATCCTTGGGATTAATGAATATTAGTAACATCACTGGACTGGTTATACCAAGCTCTSTAAATTTTGCCATCATCTTTCTAAAATGGTTTTGCAGAAAAAGAATTGTTTTCCTGCCCAGGATTATTGCTTTCTTGGACAGGCTAGCAAAATAACAGCTCGTTTTGTGAGTTTGGTGGTTTTTTTTTTTTTTTTTGGTCACAAGCTTCCAAAATTCTCACACAATGGATGGATTTGTAGACGTTTCAGACGTTCTGTCTGGCCTGGTGAATTTTCATGACAGCTCCGCAGAACTGAACTAGAGCAGCTCTGTTTATAACTCCACCCTTCCTTTCAAAACTTTCCAGTCAACGCATGAAACTCATCTCTTGGCTTAACTCTGTTTCCAGTGTGGCTTTCAAACAGATGAGAAACACTTGTTTGGAAACTCAAACAGTTGTGCATACTGCTCTTTTGGATGATGGCTAAAGACTGATTTTTTTATTCTATTTTTTTTTTCAGCTAGTATTCAAATAACTACTCAGAAAATWAGGTATAAAATCCAGGTGAAATGCTGAACCAAACAGAAAATTGGATCTTCACCGAAATATGAGTGTGAAACTTTTCTTTATGTCTGTTTGCAGTGTGAATTGTATGCTGCTTATCTTAATTTTATTATTTGAAAATTAATTTATCCAAACGAGGATCTGAGCTTGACCCAGCTATTATTGTTTGTAGGTTATGTGTATTTTGACTTGTAGGGATCAGTAAATGGTTATCAGAATGATTATCAATCTGTTGCGAACAGATGCAAACATCTAATGATGTTAGTAGTCTGCCTTAGTGGAAATTAGGGAAGAAAGAGCCAGACACGTGCAAACAGGTTGAGTTAGATGATTGCACAGGGATATGCAATGCTCAGTGAATAACTTTGTCAAGCAGAATATCTGTTCTTCAGATATATAAGGACTGTTTATATTGAGCATATGTTCATTAAACAGTTAATTACCAGGGGGCTTGTTCCCTCTCTGCCACCAGGCTCTTTAGAAGGGCAAAATACACAAATGTCTTAATAATAGCATCTTAATAATGGCTTTGGGTAGCCAACTTAACATTTAATTCAAACCTACTTGAGTAGTCAAGATATTGGACCACAGAGATACCGACTGACCTAATATGTGTAGGCTAACCTGGAATGTGCCTGTCTCCCTTTCTTAGGGTGCACATGCTCTTGTCTAGGTGTGGTTTCTCTGCCTGTTGACMTCACAGGCTCAGTCTCTCATCACCTATGGCACTTTCCGTGAAGCACTGACCCAGCTCTGGCTGCAGTGGAAGAAAGACGGTGACTAAGGAAGTGGTAGTCAAAGCAAAAAGTATTTTTTTTCTCTTGAAGGAGAGAAAAAATTCTTAAGAAATTTAAAAGCTGCTGCTAAATAATGCTTCTGTATTTTTGAATCATGGATTAAGATGTGATATTGCAATATTTTATGGCATGCTTGAGGTTGAAGCACTGTCTTTAGAAAAACGCATTTTCCTCGACCAGAACCAGCCTTTTTGGAATGTCATGGCTGGCTTGCTGTGCTCTTGAGTTGGCAAGTTCTRTTCCCTGAGGCAGCTTGGTGACCTAGCTTGTTTCCCCCAGCAAATATTCTCTTCCTCCTGTTGCCATTTGCTGAAAAGTTTTCGTTTTCTTCCTTTATAGTTAGATAGCAGAAACTCTTATCAGTGGATGAGCTTTCAAGAAAGACCAACAATTTCTGCTGATTTTCATGACAAAAATGGGTTATAATAACCTTTTAGAGCTAGTGCTGACCTTTCAGTTCTTTGAGACAAATACAGTACTTTCAGGTTTCTGACTCATATTTTAAAATGTTGATTTTACAAAGCCCAGCAGCCCTCAGACTTGATTTTGTATGATTTATGCTCCATGATACCTCAATTCACACAATGCATGCAAATGTTTTTAAAGTGTTAGAAAGCGTATACTTTTGTTCATACATGTTTTGTTGATACATATTTTGTGTTGAGTTTTATTTGACAGAGAGAATATGAGCAATTTAACATTTCATTTTTTTCTATAAAAGTGTTGCATTCAGTGTATTGACACATTTTAAAACCCATATATATTCCTTAGTTATTTAAAATATTTAAAAAATCAGATACTTTCACAAGCAGTAGAGCCATATAGTGCTGAACTGCAAAAAACTGGATACTGCTGTTGTGATTTATAATATGTAATGAATTGTATGTTGTCCAGATCTTTTGTACAAATTATTTTTACCAGGATTGTGGCAAGACCTACAGAGGTCACTGTTGTATACAGTCATCTCATCTCCTTGTAGAAAGGATGAGGACAATGYGTTTGCTAGGAGGGGGAAATATTAATGATACAGGAATTTATTTTCCTCAGTGTGGGCTGAAGTTTCACTCAATGGAAATCACAGCAGCACTGCACCAAAATAAAATCTGTAGCCCTACAATTTCAGCCCCTGTTTTGGGTGAAAAAGTAATTCAGAGCTTTGACAGGAATATGTCCAAAGCTCATTTGGTCTACATTTTAAGTGTTATAATTACTGGCTGATAATYAGAAAAGAGAGAGAGTCTGTGATTGTTAGAAAAGTCCTACCACTTCCCATCGCTGGAAGGCGGGTATATTTAGAAACTTAGATTTTTAATGTTGTGTTGGAACATGAGGTAATGTGTAATATCTAACCACTMTGGGTACACTGGGGTAGGAGTGTGACTTTTTAAACGACGTTTTTAGTTTCAAAAGGCATTTAAAAAATCTTTGGAGTTTTTTTTTGTTAGTACAGGTGTACTTTCAATGATAAAGTGATGAACATTGCTGCTGGAAACCTTCATATAAGAATGATGCGGTGACATTAGAATTTCCTAGTGAGGAACATGACACATTGACTGTCTGTCCTAATAGCTTGGTAGTGTAGTCCTTCCACATGTACAGTGCAAAACTGAAAGTAAATCAGGGAAGAGAGCTTCTCTGAGCAATCCTGACTCCTCTGAAGCATGGGAACACACCAGCCTTTTAGGTCACAGCTGAGTCAAGCTGYTGGGCTGGGCTGGGCTGTGTGTGGCTGACCTTAGGAATTATGTCCCTTTGACCCTTATAAATGTGTCAAGCCTCTGGCCCAACACCAGCTTACTAATGCCAGTAGCCATTTCATAGAGTGATTTCTAATGTGAGATATGCAACTAGTCTGAGATTGCTTTTTATTTAAGATTAAAATGAAATTATTTAAAATTTGTTTTCAGATGCCTTTATTTCAGAGTAGGTACTAGAAGAGCTATGCTATTCTTGTTCTGCCATTTGAAACCACATCTGAGACTGAAGAGAAATCATGCTGTGTTTCTGTGGCAATTAGCTTTTACAATTTTCCAGAAGTATTTCTTTCTTGTCAGTAAAATCTCTTTTGATTTAAGCTGACAAAAACATAGTTTGAATTTCATTCAGATTTTCATAAAATGGATAACACAGTGTTTTTGACTTGGCCTATKTTTATTTTTTGAGACCATATTTATGTCCTAAAACTTGAGCCCTGCAATTTGGGATGTCTTTGTGTGACTGGAAGGAGTTGGGTGGAGAGGAGGCTGTGAGGAAGAGTTACCAGCTCGGCATTTCCCAGCCAGCAGAGGTGCCAGTGAAGGGAACTCACAGGCAGGGCCAGAAAGGTGCTGGGTTCTGCCCTTTGCAATCAGAACGAACTGCGTATGGTGCTGGAAGAGGTCAGAGCATTTGCTCTTCATGTATGATTTTCACTCCAGAATTACGAAGGAAGATGTGGTCTGTTAATGCTGTAATATGATTATGCAATGCAACAGATTGCAGTGGATCAGGAAAGGTGACCTACTTATTAGGGTGGCATGATTGGCCCATGTCAGCTGATGTGTGAAGGCAAGCTTCCTTTTGGTCTGCAGCAGCACAGCTCTGTCCTTGGGCAGTGTTGGTTTCTGTCCAAAARACTGGTGATTTTTACCTCCCTATTTCAGCTTATTTTTTGTATCCCCATAGAAAAATTCCCCATTTGCTTAAGCAAAACATGACTAGTGCACTCTGTGACTATTGGTATACAGATATATGATTTTTTTTTTAGTTGAAAATGAAATCATTTAAAAGAAAGCATTTATTGTAGACTTAACAGGCTAAAGTAGCACTTTTCATGTATAGATTGTAACAAATAGTTTGAAATGTCAGACTTCAATGTTTGATGGATTAAAGATAGGTGTATTTTGTGAGTAATGTATAATTCTGTCTCATAGAGGCTTATGAAACAAATTGAGAATGAAGTTTCTGGTTAATACATATGACAAACTTCCTTCCTTTTTCAGTTTGTTGAGTTTTTACATTTCATGTTTTTAATTTCAGCAACGTTATTTTAGAAATGACGGTTAAAAGGCAGTCCCCAGCTCAGAGGGGTGCAAGGATATCCGGTGGCATTTCCTTGCAGTTGGATGAGGATGGTCGAAGAATAAGGCCTGAACGATCATCAGCTCAGTCTATTGACTYCAGAAGGTATTTTTGCTGTATTCACTTCCAACAGAAGGAGCATGCCATTACTAATGGATAATATTTTAAATTTACTTGTCCATATTCATGTCACAGTACTTCAGAGCTTTAAGAAAGTATTTTTCAAGAAAAGTACTGTTAGCATTGAAATAGGCTGTGAGAACGTGGTAGTTAACGGTAACCAGCTAATCAAACAATGTGTGCTTTTTAAATATTACTTTTTAGATAATTAAAAGTATTTGGTGCTGAAACGTAATTGTGCTTGTTTTAACGAGTTTAAATTATTCTTGCCTATGCATAGTAAAATTTTATGTCACTTTCTTAACTTCTTGGGACATAGAGACTTCGAAAKCTTGCTTTTCTCATCTAGAAGACTTGATAATGTTCGATGTTTAGAAAAGTTTCATCCCTTCTGTTGGGATTTTAAGGAGATATTAAAGTTGGTCTATTTATTTATTAACATCTCATTCTGTAATTGATATCTTTATTATCTGTGATGTTGTAATTGTCTGTGGAATTAACTTTATAATTCACATGTGATTTCAGGGTGCTCCTTAACTTTATTTTGCTGTTGTATTATGTGGCCACTCTGTTTTTAGTGAATTACTAAGCTAAGAGTACTAGAGTACTCTTACATTTTTGGTTTACTTCTGTAAGCTGTGCTTTCTTGTGTGTAGTCTTTTGATCTTCCATGGCAGCTCATCATCACATTCCTTCTCAATGTATTCTTTCTCTAGCAGTTTTTAGTAAGATCAGCTTCTCTTGTCATTAATTTACTTTGCAAATGAATCCCCTGTTTTGGGGGGAAAATTGAGGGAATCATATGTGTTTAGATAAGTCATGGTGAAGACCAAGAATTTGGGTAACAAAGGGAAAGAAAAGCATAAGTTTATGGGTGAGTAGATGTACAGTATTCTGTGTGTGGTGAAACTGCTTGGCATATAACTTCAGAAACAGCACCTTAAAAATAGTTTTGAAAATCCCTGTAATGAGTAAATAGTCTCCAGTTTCAGGCCTAAATTCCCTCCTGTATGCCTGAAAATCTAATGGATTTACTTATCAACTGATAGTAGGAAAACAATGGGTCAGGAGGACCTAAGTTAGTACATTGCAATGAAATGAGTGATGTTGCTTTATAGTAATTTAAATTTGTAATTTTCAAATAAATGTTCTTCTAAGACATGCATATATCTTCGGCCAATGTCATTGGAAATGTCATTACAGATAGGAAAATACAATCCTAAATCAACATTCTTTCGAGGCTCTGTAACTAGATTGCTCTGTGCTGAAATAGATCCAGAGTAGTTTCATCAATAAAAAGTGATATGACAAGAGCAGGTTTGCAGAAGTAGTTGAGGCCATTAGAAATCTCCAGTAAATCCAGAAGGGTAGTATTTTAAGGTCAGAAAGGGTAAATCTTGCCAGGGTAACAGATATATAATAACAAAATGTAGAAACTTAGAATCCCAGTAGAAAGCTGGAAAATTGTATGATTAAAAGAATAATTGATTCTGAAGACATTGGTTTTTCTATGTTTTCATTTATAAGAATTTGATTACTTATTGCACTCCTTAATTTTTTTTTTTTAGTATAAGCTTATGGTAATGATTAGTGTGATTGAAAATAGATGGTCAGAGTGAAATATTTTTATATTGAGAAGACAGAGCATCAGGGTGATGCTATTCAAAATATACCATATGGATATACTCTGACTGTTTGCCGTATGGCAGAGAAGGTGGCTGTGTAATCTTCCAAAAGGGCTATTTATGTCATAAAGCAGGAATTATTTGATTTAGCTCTTGCTTTTTCTGGTCCTGAATTGTGCAATATTTTTTTACAGGGAAAAGCTCCAAGTCTTCAGATAATTGCAACTTTATAAAATCACTTAAGTACTATGGTTTGATACTCTTTACCTTTGTTCAGATTTCTAAATATTCCAGTTAAAATTGACTACAAATATAGTGTGTGATTTATGCTCTTTCACATGGAAATGTTTTGAGAAACTCTCTTACAGACGAATKATAAGGTCATGAACACTTTCTCTGATTAAAAGCCTGAAGATTTAGTGAGAGTCAATTTTTTTTTGTTTCCAGAGATCTGTTAGTTCATGAAAATACTTTGTGCTTTTTAATTTGTTATCTGGCATTGTTGTGAGGTCTTGTGAAATACTAAATACCGTTTTTCTTTTTTGTTTATAGAACTCTGAAAGTGAGAAAGAGGCTTAATATATTCACTAAGGCTTCTACAGAACCAGAGCACACACTGAAAACAGGTTAGTGGAAATTCAGTAATGAAAAATGCAGTGATGCTAAGTTCTGCATTTTTAGAATATCAAGAGATTCATTTTTGTGAGGAGACATGACCTGTTTGCTTTCTACTTTCAGACTGATGAAAGAAATGACTACTTTGATGTAGCTCTGATTTTCACCAAGTGAAAATTGCATGCAGTGTAATGGTAATGTTTTCTGTACTGATCAGGGCACTGTGTTAGTGAATTTGAAGGGTGTAACTGGCTTTTTGTCACAAAGGTCACTCTTATTTCTGTGGGTGAAAAGCCAGCCTGTAGGATGGGTACATTGGCTCCAGCTTACTTGGTCRAATTGCAAGGAAGTGCCAGGCTGTGATCCCGAGGAAACAAGCATGCCCTGCAGGTACCCAAACATAAACAGGCTAGTAGAAACCCAAGACTGCACACTGAATTTCTGTGGGGCCTTGTTTTGTTTAGTGTTCCAGATGGGTTAGGAAGATCTATTGGTGGCTGACATATGATGTCTTGCTTCACCTATTGTCAAGTTTTTCATATTTGTTTAGAATTGTAGAAAGTTTTGGTTGGAAGGGGCCTTTAGATGTCATCTGGTTCCAACCCCCCTGCAATGAGCAGGTACSTCTTCCACTAGCTCAAGTTGCTCAGAGCCCCACCCAACCTGACCTTGAATGTTTCCAGAGATGTGGCATTTACCACCCCTCTGGACAACTTGTTCTAGTGTGTTGCCACACGTTCATTTGAAAACAATTACACCTTTTTTTCTGAAAACCACTACTTCTTGTCCTGTTGCAATGAACCCTACTAAAAATTCTGTCTTCATCTTTCTCAAAAATTCCATTTCAGTATTGAAAATATTTAATAAAGTCGTCCGGGAGCCTTCTGTTCTCCACARGGAACAACCTCAGCTCTCTCAGCCTTTCCTCTTAGGAGAGATGTTCCATCCCTCTAATCATCTTCATGGTCCTCCTCTGGACCTGCTCCAACAGGTTGATGTCCCTCCTGTGCTGAGGACCTGAGAGCTGGATGGAGCATTCCATATGGGATCTCATGTGAGCAGAGGGGCAGAATCTTCTCTCTCAACCTGTTTGCCATGCTTCATTTTATGATTCYAGCTGGCTTTCTCGGCTGTGAATGCACACTACTGGCTCATGTCTCTTTTTTTTATCCATCAGTGTCCCTAAATCCTTCTTGACAGGACTGCTCTCAGTCCATTCMCCCCCCAGTCTGTGTGGATGCTGGAGGTTGCCCCAACCCAGGTGCAGCACCTTGCACTTGGCTTTGTYKGACCTCATGGGGTTCCCATGGGGYCACTTGTTGAGCTTGTCCAAGTCCTTCTGGATGGCATCCTGTCCTTCAGTGTGTCAGCTGCACTGAGTGACAGCCTGGTGTCACCTGTAAATGTACTGAGGGTGCACTCAATCTCACTGTGGTGTTGATGAAGATACTGAACAATTCTGGTCCCAGTATGTGTTCCTGAGTGACACGAATTGTCACTGATCTCCATCCAGATGTTGAGCTCTTGACCACTGCATGCACAGTTTGAATAGAGCCCTGGAATGGTCCATGAGCTCTGGACCATCTGGATGTGACCACCCAGCCAATTCCTTATCCACCAAATATACATGCCAAAACTCAARTGAGATGAAAAATACCCAAACTAAAGTCAAAACAGATGTGACGACCCACCTTCATATGCACTGAATGGCACAGCTCTGCAGGAACAGTCTTTATGCTGCCTAACAGGGATAGCTTTCACTCACGAAGACTTGGCTTTAGTCCARCTGCGTTTGGCTAAGAGTGTGTGAATATGGACAAGTCATGTAAAGAACTCCCTCACTTTTCTTTGTGAACAATGAGACTACATTGTTAGCATTGATCTTTAATACACAGTTTCCCCTCAGCTATTSTGAGGCCCTTTTAAAAAACAGGCTTTATTCCAGTGTAGTGCCTTGGAACTTTATGTAAAGCCAGCAGCGGCTGAAGAAATAGTATTCCTCTCTGGTATCGTATAAAATGATGAGTATTTGTTTCTGTTTCAAGAGTAGAACTGTAAGTTTTGGCCAGATTCTAGCTGAGTAGTTTTTTATCTTTTTTTTTTTTTAACTTGAAACTGCAGGGAGATATTAATTTGATTACTTAGTTTTTTTTTAATAAAAAGTCTTATATTGCTGTTTGCATATTTTCAAGCAGCTGTGAACTTTCTGAATACAGCTATCTCTATGAAAATTGCTTATTAGAATGGAATTCAGTTTGCTCGTTTTTAGGTCTGCCAGTATCCTTAAAATTGATCATAACGAGTGATTGTTTTTAGTGTTTGTTTTGTAGTGTTTGTTTTTAGCTGTCTTAACAAAAATGGTGTTCAAGAAAATGGATTTTGAGTTGAATCAAATTTACTCAGAAAAAGTAAGAAAATATAAGATTTCTCTTTTGCATGAACAGAATACAGACGCAGTGACTCATAGTAGAACCTCAGGTAAGAGTTGAGATGAACTTCTTTTAAAGCACAAAATTKGAATCTGTATAAATGGTTTAAGAGAGCAGGTGGACTTTACTGTATTTATAATGAGATGTTAAGAAGTAAGCTTCCTTCAGCTTTTTGTATGGTGTTTCTTTGTTTGATTCCAGGTAGCCTTGAGGAAATCTACAGAATGTTCTAGACCAGGAAGCTGGTTACTTGGCTGACTGACTAAACATGATGACAAAAGGGCCTTAAACTTGGGAGATACCAGCTTGATACTTGATGCCCTAATCCATTTGTTTTCACTGTCTTGGCTCATATTAATGGAGATAATGGGTGAAAATATTGTTTATAGATGACAGAAAAGCCAATTTAAACTGTTGAATATTGATTTTGCAGTGTTAACTGGAAAGGAATTTGGCATCCTGAAAATATTTTTCATAACTCTTGACATAAAATGTCAGTATGATTTTCTGTTTCACAGAGGTAAAAATATTATCTTTATCACCTTTACTACAAACTCAAAAAATGAGTTTCTGCTTTTCTCTATTGGAAGATTAATTAGTTTCTTTAGGATGTGGACAATAGTTTCTTTCTGGTATGGTTTCTCATGTTGTCTTGTAGCTGTATTTTATTCCTGCCTCCAGCCCTCAAATCGAAGTAGTCAGCCTGGTAATGTAGTTCTGAAAATTTCCCTCTTAAGGAATAATTTGACTAGGTATATTCTGATTTAACACAAAAAGCTCTTTCAACTGTTTTCTGCATGTAAAAATACTGTTTGCTCTTTCATTGTGTTTTTTCTTAAAGGAGTGGGGGAGATTTTATTTTGTAATTCAGTTGAGCCAAAGATGAAATTATATCTTAGCCTCAAGTACTTACACTGAGGAGTAGTACTATAATAGCTGATTGTCCATGATCCACTCCAAGTGGACTGTAATATTTGAATTCACGTGAAGATCTGTGTTCCAAGGAGCTTAGGGTGAATTGATAACAGAGGGAGGCAAGGAAACAAAGGCGAGTGCAGCTTAGGCCAGCTCACTAACAGCCCAAGGCACTCCCAGAGGTCCCTCCCTGTCCTGTGGTAACAGCTTGTTCCCTTCAGTTCAACGAAGCGGTTCAGTCTGGGCTCGTGACCAGTTCTCCTGGGTGGAGGGACAGGAACTCCTTAAGAAGAGTAACTGCTGCAATATGAGTGCACTTGGATTTAAAAAAAAAAAAAACAAAAAAGCAAGAGGAAAGATGCATCCCTAAAGAAACTGTTTTTTTGAAAAGAGTAGGAAATCACGGTTTCTTGAGCTCAAGAGACAAAAACTGGGACAATGAAGAGTGTAGGGGAAGGATTTGCCATCATTTATAGATTTGTTTCCGTGAAGGAAGATATAGTTGTGAAGAACCGGAAAACTCCTGTAGAAGTAAGATTCCTTTAGCAAAGTGCACCAGGCAAGCTCAGAATTCATTGTATCCACAATTTTTGAAAGACAAAACTGAAGAAAGATTGTGGGAAAATTAAATTATTGCTCTATGTGGAAATAAATATTCCCCTAGGATTTCAGAATATATTTTCATCAGGCATTTGAGAATTGAATGAACTTTCATGCCAACGAAGGACGCTCATTTGAGAAAGGTGTTGCTGGTATCTAAGGTCGAAAAATTTGCACAGCTGAAACAATTAGTCTCTACAAGATTAATGTTAAAGGACCTTGTTTTAACTAGTGAGAAGTCTTTGGATGCTGACAGATTGTTACAAAATTTCTTTTTCAGTATCTCCACCAACAATTTGGGATCTGGAGTTTGCAAAGGAGGTTGCAGCAGTAACTGCACAGCCGCCCCGAAATGGTTTTGAGGAAATGATCCAGTGGACCAAAGAAGGAATACTGTGGGAGTTTCCAGTTGACAATGAAGTTGGTATGTGCACTGTGAACTTTTATTATCTCAGTTTATCTTTTCTAAAAATTTGAGCATGCTTGACCTTTGACTGTTTTAATGTAGTGCTTCATCTATGAGTCATGCTTTTGATAGTAAACAAACATAACTTCCCAACTGTTCCAGATCAGAGATGCTTCAGATGAACTCATTCTGGCACTCTTCAGGTGAAGTCTTGCAGGTGGTTTGGCTGATCTGAGGACTGGCTGCTGCCAAAAAGGGGAGGTCTCCCTCCCTCCTTCCCTGATGCTTTTAACACCAAAAGGCTGTTCAAGTCTCTTATATAATGCCTTTTACTCTGCAACTTCTTTAAATCAAGCTCCTAGCAGAAGTTGGGGAATCTTAAAACTGCTCTTATGTGTTTTATAACGCTGATGCTGTTCTTTGGTGTGGCTCTTGGARCAAGTGTCTAGCCAGATTCCAACCAGCTATTTGCCATTCCATATCTGGGCAAACCAAGTGTTAAACAGTTGTTTGCTTCCTTTGTTCTGTCTGTTTCATAAGAATAAACAGTCACAATATTCACYCACTCTGGGCATCTATGTTAATTAGGCATCTTTGTGCACAGTATTTTCTCTTATTACCATAAAAAAAAAAGCTCTGTGTGAAGTTATGCCAGCAGAGAGAGAGAGTCAATGTTAAGGAAGTGAAGAACAACTATACAAAGTGTGCAGTATAGGAAAGAGGACTATGTGGGTTTTGGGGTTTTTTGTAAGACTTTAAAGACATCAAACAGAACTGCTTTGTAATGATTCAGTCAGAGAGAAAAACAGGTTAGTATCTGAAGCTGGGAGTCTTTGAAAATCTGTCCTATACTGAGTTGCAAATTGAATAATGTGCTTCATTGTTTCTTAATGTTTATTTTCATCCTATTTGGCAATTTCTTCACAGAATTTAATCACTGCTCCCAGAATTGATCTATTCCATCATGTAGAAATCCAAGTRTACTCTAGTCATGTTTTTGCAGGCTTAAAACCACTGTGGCCAATGGTTTTTATGTTGTTGTAATGTGGCTGGAACCCTGCTGTCTGGGGCTGTCAGTTAACAAAGTGTCTTTGGCGGGCAATGGTTTCCCTGTTGCAGCCGTGYGGCTGGAACCAGGCTGTCTGGGATGGGGCGGGGAGCGGACAAAGAGTCTTCACATATAGTTACAACAAGAATCTTTATTGATTTGTCCACAAAGACTAGTCATGTGGAAAATTCCAGTGGAGCCATCCAAAAACTGTCACCTCTCAGGTTGAAATACCAAGTCGGTAAGTTCTGTCCTATCACGCTGCCAGCCACAGGCTGTTAATCACATCAGGTGTGTCAAAGAACAGTTAAAAGCTTGAGAACCTCACTCCATGTRTATCAACATGCTGTAATTTCAATGTCTCTGCAAAAGTAAGATGCCCCTTTTGCAGCTTTGTAACAGCCATTTCCCTCAATAGGAGGACATGACTTCAGTTTGTTGTGTATCCAGAAATGTGTGATTATTCTTCTCTGCCACAAGCATGTGGCTTTGAAAATGTAAGTGCAATTAAATTTTCTGTTGAGGAAGCACATATACTCAATTTTTTGCATTATGAAAGCCTTTAAAGTTTTAAACTGAAAAAGAAAGACAACTTCTTATAACCTTTTTCTTGGCTCCAGAGTATCTCTGGTGTTCTCATTAGAATGTTCCACCAAGGCCCTGTGCTGCGCTTTGTGGCATCAGGGCAAGTCATGATGTTTGGAAATTATTTTGATGTGCACATCTGAAGACGTGGCTAGACTTACTGGCTTGCTTCAATGACCAGCAGCAGTCTTCCCCCTCACAAACCTTACAGCCCTGTTATTTGCTCTTACCTGCATGTCCTTTGCCTTGTCCAATGCAGTTGAAGTCACTGTTAGGCAGAATATTACTTTTTTTTCCTCTCCGTCTTTCCAGCCTCTGATTAATTTTTACCAGATTAGCAAACCATTAGTATAACTTGCATAACATTGTTCTCACTCCTTCTTTCTTCTTGACTCTCATGCTTCTAAGCAGCTTCAATGCTGCTTCATGATTGCCATGGCAAAAAGTTGAGAAAGACTTTTCTTTGTGCCTCATTTATTATTTCTGTGCATTTATGCCATAATGACTCAAAAAGGTAAAAAGGACAGTGCAGATTATAGGTGCTAATTTGCCTTAGCACCTCATTATGAGGAGCAAATGCTTTTGGTGGACCAGAGATTGTTACTGCACAAGTGGTCAGTAAGTCTCAGAAAATTAATTCCTCGGTTGCCTTTGATGGCTTCTGCAGACAAAAGTTCGCTAAGTCCTGTTCTATTTGCTGTTCAGCTGAGATGCTGTTCCCAGCGGAGAAGTATTGAATCAGCTTGCCAAGAGAGTTGGCAAAGTTACACAATGACTGTGTTGGGGTTTCTTTATTAATGCTAGATCTGTTCTAGGGACCTACTGAAGAACATGATTGATGTAATTCTAGAAGTCCTAAAAGGATAGAATAGTTTGTGTTGAAAGAGACCTTTAAAGACCATTTAGTCCCAACCTCCYGCCATGGACCAGGACATTTTTTACTAGATCAGAATACTCATTCATCTTTATAGCATGTCAGCAACACTCCTTATAAGGGATGGACATCTGTATTTGGATTGACATCTTTAAGGCGAGGTTGGTCATATTTTGGAAGGATTAGTGTTTTAGCTAGAGAAATTCCCCAGACTTTCTGTTTTGTTGTATGTGGGGGGTTGGAAGCAGGATGTTGAGAGTGGATGTTTTCTTACTTTGCGATTGAAAAAGAAAATCCTCTGCTTTAGGTTCCTGCCATGCACGTTCTTTCAAATGACGTTTCTGAGGAGAGTGCCAGAGAGACTGAGGGGACAGGCTTGCAGCAGGAGTCAAGGCTTGCTAGGGTTAAGGGGAGTCATGCAAKCATATATCATCTAATCAGTTCCCACCAGAGGTTTCAGCTTCTGATGCTTGGGGCAGTTGTGGTCTCCTTTTTTGTGATGCACACTTTACTTTCTCGAGGACTGCAATATGTGGTCTAACTGAAATACTTGGACTTAACACTTCATCCCCAAACTGTGTATGGTCTTTGACAAACAGGAGAGCAGAATATACAATGTAATACTGCCTTCTCACCTGCATTTTTGTGAGAYTCTAAACGGTTTCTTTTGGGTTAAGTGAAATTATTTAGTAGACACAATCTCTCCTGATACTCTGTATCTACCCCCAGAAGAAGAGCATCCAGAAGGCCAAATTTTACTGTCAGCGTTACTCAGATTCTTTCAGTAGTTTGGTTGGATTTTTGAGAGCAGCAAAAGTATGGAAATCTGCAAAGGCTGTTAATTTGAAAATCAACCAGTAGCATCCAGGTGCAGTAAGATTCTACCTTCCCTTGGTGGGGGAAAGCCAGCATGGATGACATTGTAAAAGGACATCACTTCTTCTGACCATGGATATAGTTTCCAAGCATAGCAGAAACATGCTTTCTGAAGCTTACATTACTTTTTTTTTAATTTTTTTTTAAACCTTCAACTTAAAGGAACAAGGTGATAGCTTCTGAAGAAGGAAATGTGCTTTTTTTTTGTTTCAAAAACAATGGAGGCAAATGTGGTGTGCAACTGCTATTGATACACTCATGCATTTCTAGGGAAAATCTGTTGGAAAAAAGGTATTTCCCAGCTCCTTCAGATAATGCAGTACCTAAAGTTTAAAACAGGAAAGAAGTTATGTAAACTTCAGAAACACAATTTGAGAGACTTCTCCATCCCATAAATGTGCATAATTTCTTCTGTAACTGTAGAAGCTCTAACAAAGAAGGAAGCCTGGAACTTATGGGACTTAATTACCTCAATTTTAATACTCCTGATTTAATTTTGTCAGATAATACAGAGGAACATAAAACTAGCTAGCTTAGAAAAACATGTACACCGTAGTCATGTGTATGGAATTCTCATTGTTGTCATCTAGAAATGGTGCAATGTTTTTCTCTAGTAACAGATTTTTATTTAAGTACACAGGAAAATTGGGATCAAATAAAATTTTTGAGGTATATCTAACTGAACAAAAATCTTTCATTACAAATCCCAGATTGCCTTATTTTTCTTTTCCCTCAAAATTAGGAATGGCAAAAACAGCTTTTTTCCTGTATGTACAAATTTATGTTCCAAGTCTTTGTCTCTACCATCATAGTATGAGCAACATACAATCATAATTCACATACAACAGCAAAAACAATCCACAGGATGAAGAACAAAAATTTACCCTATCTCMAATAATCCCTTGTCCCGTGTCCTGTGAAGGCTTTTGAATGTATCATCTTTGGTGATGGCTATGACTTAAAAGCAGCTGGTGAGATACACAACACTTCTACATCATCATACACTCCCAGATTCAGACAGTGTCAGAAAAACAAACTTCTGTGCCCATTTGATAACAAAAGCATGTTAAAAGCATGGCTTGGAATGGACATGTAAGTGTTTGTTAGATGTTCAGTATTTGATACTTTGAGGTTGCCTCATTTGTTCAAGACTACCTTGTATTCTTTTTTCTTCTGCAGAATTTAGGCAAGCAGTATTCTCTTAAAAATTTATTAACAAAGTGCCTGCAATCTAAAAGGTAGTACCAATGATGAATCAAATTTTTCAAGTATTGAACAAATTAGATTTTAGCAAGAAGATTGATTTATGGTTATAATTATTCCTCCTACTTCCACCCCAGCATCAGCTTTTATCAAGACTACCAGCCAGAAAGTTGATTTAAATATTACATATTCWTAGAAATGTGAGCAGAACCATTAATTTTACTAATTTAAAATTATTTTCAAACGGTATTATTTTTTACTTTGTTAAACTTGCTGTTACATTATAACAAGTTTGTCTTTTTTTCTTTGTTTTTCTCATAGGGATGGAGGATGATGCTGAGTTTCATGAACATATCTTTCTAGAGAAACACCTCGAAGCCTTTCCCAAGGAAGGACCTATTCGCCACTTCATGGAACTAGTCATCTGTGGGCTTTCAAAAAACCCATACCTCAGTGTAAAGCAGAAGGTTGAACATATTGAGTGGTTTCAGAAGTATTTTGAGGAAAAGAAGGAACTTCTTCAAGAGATTTGAGACTTGGGAAGGTGCTTACCCTTGCAATGAAGAATTGTTATGTTGAAATGGGTCATTTGTTATGGATGAAAATACTGTCAGTGCATAATGATCATGTGGCCTGAAAGTTGTATTTTAAACATTAAACTGGAAGGTCATCTTTTCTTACATGCGTGTCTGTGTGTGTAGGTACTTTGACAACAAAAGAAGGAACTGATAAGTATGGCCTTTGCAGAATGTGCATTTAAAATTTAGTTAATCGAAACTGTTGTCTTTAAAAGCTGAAACTAATCTTTGGACAATACTAAATCCTAGGTCTCATTCCATTTCCTACACCCTTCACAGCTGGCCTGTAGCTTGACAGGTTGGATCATCTCTCCTGTTCTGAAAAACTTGTAATGCTTTCATTTTGCTAAGTCATGAACCACACTGGTGTTTGGATGGTATTGATCCTTTCTGTCTTTCCACTGATTAATTTTAAAGTTTTTGGTAATGTCTAAGTGATTTGAATGGTGTGCTTGTTGGTTCCTCTGCTCAGTGAAAGATTGTATTTCTGAGATGTGTGCACAGCGTAACACTGGTGAGTTACAGAAAATAACAAGGGAATGATGTTCATCAGGGGTTGGTATTGGGACTGGTGCCAACAATAAACTTCAAGAAGGATGTTTTAGATTAGTTGTTAGGGAGAAGTTCTTTGCTGTGAGGGTAGTGAGACACTGGCACGGGTTACCCAGAGAAGTTGTGGATGACCCATCCATGGAAGTGTTCAAGGCCAGATTGGAGATGTCCCTGCCCATGGCAGAGGGATTGGAGCTAGTTAATCTCTAAGGTCCATTTCAACCCCAACTGTTGTGTGATTCGAATGTCTCTCATGCCATCTGTACATTCGTTCTGAAGCTTTTGACTAACTTCCCATCAGCATTGTTTTAAAATAGGTCTGGATGTCAAGTGAACCATGAAGTGCTGTTTCACTAGAGCAAGCAGTTTTATGATGACTCAGCTTGGACCTGCGACCTTACCTCCTGCATCTGCAGGGCTAGAAGGACTTGACATTCCTGGCAAGGAGAGTTGTTGCCTACAGATTACATGATACCATCACTATTTTCTGCCTAGTCCTCKGATGCTGCTGAAGCAACTTCATGTTTTTTTTGATAATCCAATTAAATRTGTATGGTCCTTCAAACCTATTAACTATTGCAATGTATTTTACTTCAGTTATCTTCTGTTAAAGTTTCATCCATAACTACTCACTTGTAATCCAGGATTCTGAATGACCATCTTGCTGCTGAAATTTATAGAGCATTTCCAGCCCTGCATATTGTGTTCCTCCTTGTTCTCCCCAACCACGTTAGCAACTATTGTCCCTATAAATACACTCCTGTCTGTTTCTCACATTTCCTTCTTACTCAAGCAGGAAGGAGGATGAATATAGAATTCATGATAGAATGAAGGTAAAATACTGGCTTCTTATGCAAATTGATTTAAAAATGAGAATTACATGAAACTGAATGAAAAATGAAGTGTTGGCCTTTTTCTATGAGTTGGAATATTGTTGCTGTGTTCTGCTCATCTCCAAGACATGAATTTGCCCTTCTGGCAAAGGGAAAGGCTCAGGCTGTGGCAAGGAAAAACAACTTTTTSACTTTCTGGCTGTAAGAACAGAAAGATTCAAGTTTTGCAGGAATTTTTAGAGGCTTCCTGGCTTTGGAATGGAGAGAGTGAGAATTTAAATATCTCCATTTGGTAATGATAGTTTTAATTTTTGGTTCAATGCCCAGATAGGTTTTACTTAAGCAATACCATTCTTCCCAAATTTCTACCAAACAGTAATGCACAGCCTGTGTTCTRCTGTTTTCAAGCCTTTTCTAAAACAAGGTACAGTGACTTTGAAGTCAGTGTGGAATTTTAGAAATAGCTCCTCTTGTGTATTTGCCTGTAGTCTGTGTTTTGATATGAAAGACAGAGCGCTTACAAGCTYGGCTCTTGCTGGAAGAGATTCAGGAGTGAATACTGAATTTCACCACACTGGGAGAGAGGTGAATGTTACCATTTAAACAGATTCATTAGGAGGTCAGTACTTGGGTAARCTCTTAACAAGAGCTCTTGATGCTTAGGATCTTTGGAAAGCTGTAGTAATTCCTACTTAGGTGCTTAAATATAGATTTCAGAGTTAATACTAGGCAACAGGATTTGAATAATCAGACCTAGCTGCACATATGTATGGATGCTTCTGGGGCTGCTCTAGGCACACTATGAGAGCCCAAGTCGCAGGACAGTTATGTGTGGGGTTTTTTTTGGCGTGTGCACTGATTGKTAGTAGGCTTTGCTACCTTTTAAAGCATTGCTTACAGGTAAGTCACTTCCAAGCACAAAAGTCCTGCGTTTTCTTTTGAAGCCCAAAGGATAAAAGCTGTCTGCCATTGTTCAGAGTGGAGCCAGTGCTGCAGCTAATGATTCCCATTTTGGAGTAATTTCTGCTTTTCTTAGGATGGTTGGTTTTCCTCCTTGTAACTGGTTAGGTGGTGCTATGTGGTTATTTAATGGTAAAACAACATCTGTTACATTCTGCACCCTTACATTTCCATCTTCATGCATGAAGTTGAGGTCTTGCAATGTGCTGCTAATSCCATGCCTCCATGACACCCACATTGGAATGTTGTCTGGCTTTGGTGGGGGCCTGGGGATGATGYTACCCTGAGAACAGCAAGATGATGGAGCAGACTGCCAGAGCCGTAATGGTGGGGAATGTTGTCCATGCTTAGTGTTGGGGTGACATTTCATCCTCTGAGGTGACTACAGTGGGTGCATAGCAGAAGGAGGATTTCTTGTTGAGTGGAGGTGGCTGAGTTAGTGACAAGTTTYAGGCAAGGGCTGAAGAGGTTCATTGTTGGAGTCTCTGGTAGCTGTTGTTGGTGCCATGATGGTCATGGCTCTCCCAGCTTGGCTGCTATACCATGAAGAAGCCTTTTCCTCCACTTTCTATTATATCCAAGTAGTCTCCATTTCCCACCTGTCTGGTGCTACCTCAGTGGTTCCGGAGGGTCTCTGGCCATCCTGGAGGAGATGGATCATTTTCTCTGTAGATGGTATTAAGGAAAAGCGAGAGGAGCAATTGTGTGGTTGGGTTGTGAGATTACTTGTGCTGTGATTTCAGGTCATTGTGTTAACCCCTACTAAGCAATTCCCCTGCAGCATTACTGTGGTCTRTGCCTTGTTCAAGGCTTGTACTCCTTGAACATTTACCTGAGCACTGGAAGAAAGTAGGCAGTGGCTTAATTTTAACCCTTTGGACTTGTCAGAGGAACTAAAATGAGTGGGGTGAATATAGAGGAAAATCTTGCACAGGTTCCTGAACTGCAGGCTGTTTTGCTTAAAACATGGATTTTTAGATGAAGAGGAGCATTAAAGGAGTCCTGGAGTGCTACTTAAGTCCATTTTCTTTCAGTACTTACAGAGATAATGAAATTTCAGCATGAAAATAGCTCCTTTTGAGAAGCCTGAAACATGGCAGCAGTTATATAAGAGTGGCCACAGTATTCCTTTTAGTGAGGATTTGAAAGTAAATAGTCTTGGTTTAGCGGGGCTTGTGAGTATCAATTAACAAAATTATGTTGGTGGACCATGAACAATGACTTCTGAGGCTGCAGGGCCTCATTTTCACTGCAGACACAGCTGCAGGTGCTTTGGAAAGTCCAGCTGCCCCTGTGGTGTCCAGCAAGACATGGCGAGGACGTAAATCCCACCCTGCCCGGTGCCTGTGGCATTTTGGTCTCAGGATCTCCACAAGATGTCAGTGTAGAATTATTGGATTAGATATAAAAATCCTTGCGCTGTTCCCTCCAATAGATTAAAGCAAAAACTGTTTCAGAGCTGCACAATAGGTTTGATTGTGCTCTGGAATGTGTTGCCTGTAGACAATCGAGGTGGCAAGCGCTGGCTTCTAGGAATGGGTGTGAGTGACATCCTGAAATGGGAGCAGGGCTCCTGGTTGAAATGGGCGACTCTGCTCATATCAGGATGCCCTTATTCCCTTGGGGACAAGCTCCAGGTACACTCATGCAATCTATACCAAGATGTATCAATCTATATTAAATTGCTCTATGTTTTATTCAAAGAGGAGCTGAAAGCCTGAAGAAAACCTAGAAGGGCCATCCTGGATGGCAGTGAGGGTGTGAGGATGGCTGGATCAAGTCACCCACTGGAGAAGTGTCACTGCTGGCTGTGGTATCCAAAGCTTGCTTGGTTTCTTTACGGAGAAGTGGGCTTGCAATGTCCATTGAGCTGTGATCCTTCAGAGTAACTGGCGCATAGCATCCAGCTGAAGGGAGTTCCCCTTGGCCTTTTAACTCTTTTGCATAGCAGTCCCTTCCTGTCAGAGAAAGTTTTTAATGCTCATTGAGCAGAATTCAGACGGATGTCAACAACAAGAGTTTTTCCATGGAAGAAAATTCTCTGAAATGCTGGTGGTGGGCAGTTTTGGGTGGAGATGCTGACTGAAGCCCGGTGTGGCCGCATGTGGGAGGGAGCTTTCCCATCCAGGCTGGGCCTCTCCAAGCCCCTGCACTGTCCGGTGTTTCCGAGGTCTACCCTGTCCTGGGCGCTGCTGGCCATCTGGGATGTCAGCTCCGAGCTGCTGCAAGGAAAAGAGGCAGCAGGGCCAGCAGCCGTAGGGATGTTTGAGAAGCAGCTTTCCTCTCGTCTMCTTTGCAGGCCCTGGTATTTATTCCCGTTTTCCCAATAAAAGCCAAATGCGCTGCAGGCCCCGCGCCTCTCCTCGCAGCTGGGGCTGCGGTCCCCGCCCCGCATGGCCGGGCTGGCGTGGGTGGCGGCGCTGCCACCGCGGGGCTCGGGAGCCGCCGGGCGATGATTCATTGTGGTCCCGGGCAATGCACCCTGTCACCCGCGAGGGAGGGAGCCAAAGGTGACGGTGTTTGTCAGCGGCGGCAGAAATAGCCACGTTTCAGATTTCACTGGGGAAGTGGGGAGGCAGGGAGATGGAGATCAGTGCGGCCTCAGCGCCGTTCCCAGACTGCCTCGGAGCCGGGTGGTGGGGAAAGCAGCGCCTCATCACTCATGTGGGCGAGCATTTGCCCACCTAAATTTGGGGGGATCCCAGCCACTCCTAGCATTTGCATTGTGCAGGTAGAGATGGCGATGCAAACTGCCTTTCCCCTTGGTGTGTCCTCTCAGCTCACCCTAGGGGACAGCTGAGGTGACTTTCGGGGTCAAGGGACTCYCGAGGAGGCACTCCTGATTTCCTGCCCTCTGTGCCACAGCACCTGCCGGACACTTGCCCGGTGGCCACAGTGAAGAATTATTCTTATTTTCTTGCTGGCTAAGGGATTTTCCCTGTTCAAGGGCTGGACTCTGTCAGCTGCTTGTCCCTGCCTGGGATGAGTTYCTGGGCTGCCCAGGATGCTCTGCAAAGCTGGGCAGTTTTGAAAGATGGGATAATCTTACTTGTAGAGATAATTTTTAAATAGAATAGCTCCTGTTTCTCAGGACCACAGTAGCCACATTGGATGCAGGAAAGTGTGCGAACAAAGTACCACTGAGATTTAAGGGCAAAGGTATGATCTTGTTCCTCAGRTTATCCCCTGAAATCAGTGGGATTGCTCAAGCAAGTTTCCATTTCAAACCTGACAAAGCTTTACTCTCAACTCACCCTAAGCCTATCTGGTGAGGAGATATTTGCTTTTTGCTTTCCAGTGGGAAGAATGGAACTAGAGACACACACAAATAACTGCTCCTCAAAACCTCCTGGTCTTGTAGACCAGGGCTCATTTCATTTTATATATCTATTAGATATGGTAGCAGCAAGTGCAAAATTATTTTGTAAAGCTGTATTTAAAAACCCTCAAGTTCTAAGACAAGAAGTGGGAAAATAAAAAGAAAATGTGGAAAATAAAATATAAGGCAGATTTCGAATTCAGCCTAATTTTAAGACAAAATTAATATTTCTGCAGTGTTCCTCTCAGTGAGCGTGATCAGCTCAAAAGGCCCTTTCATCATACAGCTTAACACCCTGGGAAACATTGTTCTAATGAAATTATTAGAAGTTACTTTTTTCGCCCTCTCTCTCCTGAAAGCAATAATATTTTTTGAGAAAGGTTGTTTTAGGACAGTCACAAGATATCCAGGCCTCAGTGTGGCAGTGCTATAACAGATTGGCAGCGATACTGAGCAG